TGTGATCTTTAACTATTTTTGTAGTAGTGTTCGGACTTATGTGATAATTTTTGGGTAATGAGATATATGATTTTCCCTACTAAACTAACCTCAACAATTAATTTTGTGATGGAAAAATGATTTTTGTAGAAAATAAAGAAGACAAATGCTAACAAGTGCCTTTTGACCATTGTTTAAACCCTAGCATTTGCCACAGTGGTGGTGCAGCTGGCTTCAGGGTGTGGTGAGATTTGGGATTTGAGTTGATACCAATCCCTTTTGTTATTACTTACCTTTCTTACAGACATCTAATATTTTACCTTGCACAACAAAAAAAAAAGAAAAAAAGAAAAAGGGACTACTGTTCAATATTGAGATTTGTGTAAAAAATGTTTTCAAAATTGTGAAAATGCTAAAAAATTAAAATAAATGAAAAATGTTTTAAATTTGAAATTGATGAGAAGTGTCTTACATATTTTATATTTTATTTTTATTCTTTTCTTGTGTTTAGGGGCATTTGTTATCAAAATCTAATAAATAAAAAAAAAATGCTCAATCTACTTATGTATCGATCATTTATTATAATATATACTAATCAACTGTATTTTTTATGTGTATTACATGAGTCAAAATTTTAAAATGCTAAAAGATACTGATTTTGTAAATATCAATTATTACATTCAGGAGTATTAACCAATCTTTAATTTTCTCAAAATTAATAATTTTTGAATTCTATTTGATTTTGATTGATTTCCATTTTCAAAAATAGGGTGCCCATTTTCCGTTCATTTTTTTCCCTACCTTTTCCAAGGGTAAATTGAAATGACGAATATATATAGAATAATGATTTGTCCCCCTAATTTCCTCCCCCGAATCCTCCTAATTTCAGAAGAGAGAGGAGAGAGAGAGAGAGAAGAAGAGAAGAGAGGGAAGAGGAGGAGTTCAGAAGAGAGGGAAGAGAGGGAAGAGGAGGAGCTTGATCGTCGTGTCCGGTAGCCCTTGCCTCTGCCAGATCGTCGTCTCCGGCAGCCCCCGCCTCTGCCTCGCCTCCGCCTCCTCCTCCCCGTGGTTATGGCCCCCTTCAGTCCTCCTCCTTCCTCCTCCTCCTCCTTCTTTCTCTTCTCTTCTCCTTCTTCCTTCTTCTTCTCCCTCGTTTCTGATTGAACCAGGAAAAAAATAAAAATAATAAAAAAAAATACAGAAACGACGTCGTTTCTGGGATTAGGGGGATTCGGGGGGACTTTTTTCGAGCGACGTAGCATTACCGATATATATATCCCTTCTGAAGATTTATTATACAATTACATTAATTACATTCAGCCTTTGTTTGAAATGTGGGTTAATTTTTTGACCTTTTTAACTTTTGGTCTAGGGCTAAAAAAGTTCGTTTAGAATGGATTTTTTTGATTTTTTTGACTTTTGTGAGAAAAAAATAAAATAATTATGATTTAAATGTAACATTTTATATTATTGACTTTTAATTTATTTTATCTTTTTATAACTAAAATAGTTAAAAAAAACCAATGTCAAACATAGTCTTAAAAAAAATTATTATTATTGTTATTATTATTATTTTGATGTGGAAAGTCCAAAGGCTCCGTTTGTTTTGGGGTATGAGAGGAGGATTGGGATTAGGATAATTGTGGGTCTCATTTAATGTGTTATTTGTTTACAGAGTTGAGGAAGGGATTGATAAGCCGAAGGGCTTAAGATAAGCCTTGCAGATGGGATTCAGATAGGTCTCCAGGACTTGGTATTAGAAAAATAGTCCGGCGGACTAGAATTTTTTTTTGAACATTAGTGTTTAATTTTTTGTATTTTTTGTTAAGTAAAAATTATTATTTTATTTATTTTATTTTTATTTTTTTAAATTTTTTTACATGTTGGGCATTTTTTTTAAAACATTAATGTTTAATATTTTTGTATTTTTTTTATTTGTTTTATTATTTTATATAAAAATAATTTAATAATCCCTACACTAATAACTATCATTAAAATAAATATAATTTTATTTAATTTTCTCACTAATAATTTCCTCACTATTAATTTTTTTATTATCAATTCTTTTCATTTAACCTCTGAAAACAAAGATGGTAAAAAACCACATGAAAGATGATAATTTGGGGTTATCTCTTGGGCCAAAAGCTGTTCCATTGTCTATTCAATGGTGTGGTTTTCTATTCCGGCCATATTGTCCGTTATTTACACGTTGCAAGTCTTTATTGACTTAAACGGTAATAAAACATTTAATATGTACGATGAGACAGTGTACGTAGTCTATTTTTTTTCAAACAATAATAATTTCATCCATAATTTTTGGTATATTTGAAGAAGGAAAATGATTGGTGGTCCTAAAAAATTTGCCCCTAATGCCCCTAATTTTCATTTTTGGAAACTGTTTCTTTTTTTCTTTCTTTTTTCCTTTTTTTTTTTTTTTTTTTTTTTTAATTGGGAATTTATTTCAACACCTACAAACAACGAACAGGATTTCAACACCTACAAAACCCTAGAAAATCTCCACAAAAATCTGAATCGTTAAGTTCATCCTCACGTAATCTCCCACAAAATATCAATATGATCTTTAGCTGCCAAATTCAAAACAGGTATTTTACACTCTAAAATTAAGACAGGTATTTTACACTCTAAAATAACATTGAGGGACCTTAGGCTACAAAAGAACACATTGTGGACCTAATCCATTACTAAAAGTTGGATAGGGACCTTAAACCGATTTTCCCTTAAAAAAACCAATGTCAAACATAGTCTTAAAAAAAATTATTATTATTAATATTTTGATGCGGAAAGTCCAACAACACATTGAAAGATGATAAATTGGGGTTATCTCTTGGGCCAAAAGCTGTTCCTTGTCTATTCAATGATGTGGTTTTCTATTCCGGCCATGTTGTCCGTTATTTACACGTTGCAAGTCTTTATTGACTTAAACGGTAATAAGACATTTAATATGTACGATGAGACAGTGTACGTAGTCTATTTTTTTTTCAAACAATAATAATTTCATCCATATTTTTTTGGTATATTTGAAGAATGGGAATTCAAAATATTTCGAATCATTATTCTGAGTAATTTTTAAAAATTAGTTCGATGGAATAATAATGAAATAAAAAATATTTTTAAAAGTTTTAAATAAAATCACAAAAGGATATTTTGTCATTTTTTATAAAATTTATCCCAGCAAAAGCCAATTTTTATAAAAAGTATTACATTAGCACTTTTTTCTCTTATAAATTGAAAAACACATGAAAGATAATAATAAATTTCTCTTAAGTAATCTTTGGCCAAGTTTGGCATATTTAAAAAAAGGCAAAAAGTTAAAAAGTCTTATTTAGATCATTCCAAACAATCCTTTAGAGTGATTTTTTTATATGATTTTTAATTTTACAAAAATTAAGGGTACAATATGGTTTCAACTTTCAGTTCCCAGACCCTAATCTAACAACAATAATTTTTTCACCTTTCAAAAAAATTACATTATAAAAAAAATCACTCTGACAGATTCCAACTCAATAATTAGGGCCTTTGGGCCAAGGAGGGGCCTACTGAATGTGATTGAGGGTTGGAGTTATGTCTTGGGCCAAAGCTGGGCCATTGTCCAGCCAATGATGTCGGTTGCAGTCAACCCACGCTATGCACATGGTCACTCCCACGGTTCCGGCTGAAATCCACGGTTAATCAAATGAATTTGTTCACACATTTGATTTCGTCTAAATAAACACAGAATTCGATTGATCCACAACCGTGCTTAAAAAGTGTTTTAACTCTATTTAAAAATATCAACAATGCAACAGACTCTTAAAAAACATAACTCCCATAGCTCCGACTCACTTATGATTGGTTTAGGAAAGAAAGAAAAAAAAAAAAAAAAAAAAAAAAAAAACATGATTGGTTCACATTAAAAAAAAAACAAAAACACATGATTGGTTCACATTATTTGGGGGTCATGGGATCCCTAACCTTGGGGTCCCAAGCATTTTTGCAAAAATATATAGGTTTTACTATTTCACACTAACCAAAAATTAAATTTTATTCACACAATTTAAACAAAATTAGATTTGTCCTTGTATGATCCACAAACTAGCCTATATTTATTGAGTTTTATCTACACACCCAGAAAAAACAAAATAAAATAAAATTAAAAAAAGGACCAATTTTATCCAAAATTTTGAATCAGAGGTCAAGATTTATTTGTGAAATGACCCGCAACAAAACATAAAACTTACATCATAAATATGGAATCTGGGTCAAATTCGGTTCCTTTTATTTGTTTCATAGAGTTTTTGATATTTATTATAATAAAAATAGTATCACATTCACTTCCATATTCAAACACACCTGTGAATCTCACAGGCGTGTTTACATAATAGAATATCATAAAGACTCTGTTTGGTAAGGCTTATTTTCAGTTTATTTCAGTTTTTAGCTTAATTTAAGCTATTTTGATGTGTTTGGTTCAGCTTAACAATACAGCTTATAGCTTTTTGTAAGTCAAAAATCAACTTATTCTTTAAATGAGGGAGGAGAAACTTAATTTATAAGTCAAAAATCAACTTATATTCACAGCTATAAGCTGTTAGGCTATAAGTTATAATTACTTTTCCATAGCTCTATCAAACGGGACCAAAGTCAATCTTTGTGTTAAGTTTAGTTCACAATTTATCGAATTTTGGTTACAGATTTTTGTCTCTAAAAGGGGGAAAAAGAATACATTGATATATGTAATTTGACACAAATTTTAATTTATGTTGACCGATAGTAAAGATCATTTCAGTATAAACCATAGAGATTACAGTCATGAAATCAAAAGTTTTCTAAAACACGACACTAATATTTGAGCTTTAATGCAATTTTATGCTCACTTCTCATGATCACAGATCTTATTCAATATACAATGACACATTTGACGTAAGTGTTATGTACCATATTGATATTCTGTACTGAAAATATAATAAATAGAAAACAACATCCTAAAATTGAGGTAATGTTATAACACGAAGAAAACAATATCATAATATTGAGGCCATGCTTGTTTTTATTATAATTAATGGTGTGTAGTCATACATCAAGTCAATTACAATCTTCAAATGTGATCTCAAAAAGTATAATCATTCTAGGAATGTTGATGAAATTTACACAAGAAGTTATAGATGTGAGACAAAGACTACTCACTCTTCAGCTTATATTTGTGACCATTTTATGAGATTCATCTGGACACTTTCAACTTATTTTGAAAAGTATGTTCATTTTGTGACTATTATTCTTGACTATAATAATATATATTTATATTACGTGCATATAATCTGATTACAAAATTAAATGTACTATCTCATATCAAAAAGTAAAATAGGTTAAACGAGAACATGTTTCTCTTCAGAGTTGTTTTCCGATTGCTCTAGTATAGTCCATTTAGAGAGCTTTGTAAGCACCAAAAGAGTGGCTCCCTGGCATGCGAGACCACAGGTTAAGCCCGCCCACAAACCCTGCAAAAAAATGAAGCAAGAAAATTTATAAGTTTTAAAAAAATAATTAACTTGGTATTTTATCATGTAGAATAAGTAATTGAAGAGTTCGAGACTAGTGGTACGACCATAATTTTGATGAATGAGTTTAAAGTTGCTTCAAATTTAATAGTCTGATTAGAAACGACACAACTAAAATTCACTGTTATACTACGATTTAAGATTCTAGACAAAATTTGATGTATTTTCCATTTATGAATTTTTTTTTCTATTATAATAACTTTATTTAGGAATTTTTGCCTTTTTGCGCCATTTGTTTTGACACGTTTCTAAGACTTGTATGTAAATATGGGCTGAACTCAAATTTGTTATTTTTATAATTGGCCTAGTTAGTTATTTTCTATTTGAATTAAAATTATTATTCGTATAAACAAGATTGTAAAAGCATTCTTCATCAATAATATCTTTGGATTGCATTGTTTTGCCCCTCACTTATAGTTTTCTTATTTAAGGGGTTGTTTGGCAATAGTTTTTTTTGGCTAAAAAAGTACAAAAGACAAAATAAACTAAATAAGTTAATAAGAAAAAATGTCACATCCAAACATAATAATTTTACTTTTTTCTTTCACAAAAGTCAAAAAAGTCAAACCAAACAAACTTTTAGTCCCAAATAAAAAAGTTAAAAAATCAAAAAACTAACTAAAAAAATCAATTGTCAAACGGCAACTTAGAAATCTATGTTATAGTTTTTTATTTAGCTTTTGTTAACAGTTTGTAAGCAAATATAGTTTAAATAAATTAATAATAATAATAATTATTATTATTGAAAAATATGGTGAAATATATTTTTAATTTTTAGTTTGTAATGTGTGAGAAAGTGACCTAGGCAGTAACTCAAGTGCCCATTGAGAAGGCACTTAAATAACAGTGATTTCAGATTTAAATTTATAAAGACACGTTGACATGCGTTGTAATCTCCCTATTAATATAATAACACTATCTTCATTAAAAAAACAAAAAAAAAACAAAAAAGTTTGAGAGAGTCACCTGAGCATATAGTTTAAATTTAAACCCTAGAAGGATGGCAATGGGCATGCCAATCAAATAGAATGTTGCCAAATTAACGTACACTGCTGCCTGCTGCCATCCACATCCTCTTGCCACCCCTGCAACAAAAAATATGAAAAATTACTGTCTTATTGTGAGGCCTCTCTCCAATCCATGAAAAATCATATGGTTATGATTATTATTATTATTATTATTATTATTATTATTATTATTATTATTATTATTTATTTATTTATTTTTTCCATTGATTATTTATATATCAAGATCGACAAAATGAACGATTTAAATTATCTAAAAGAAACTGTGGTAGGCCCTAATAACTCAGCTTAATAGTGCAATCCGTATACAGCAAGTTTGTTTGGACAGACTCGATAAGGGAAAATTGAAATCCATCGGATTAGAATCTTGGGATTCATAGTCCTGGGACTATTTCATTGGATATGATATGTATCCCAAGTTTGTTTAGTTATGGGATTAGATGTCAGGAAATGACTATTTGGTTGAATAGGATATGAATCTTACGTTTGTTTGAGATATTATGGAGAATGATAAATGCTCAAATGACTATTTTACCCTTTTCAATTATTTACTAAGTAATAGCAATATTAAACATATCTTTAATATTTTAATTTTCTTTCCGAGTAAAAATTAAATAAAATTATTTTATTTTTAAATTGAGACTACTTTATTAAGTATAATTAATATCATGTGGAAAAAAATATTTAATACTAGAGGGTTAACAATGTAACTTAGCAACCTAATTCCATGAGATGAGTTAACCCATGATTTATGTCTCACACCTCATGGGATATAATAGTTCAATAGATCTGAGATTAATTGTCTGAATAGACTATTAATCCGGTACAAAATTTAAAATAAACAACGGACTATTAGTTCAATCACACCCTCCAATCGCATCAACCAAACATGCTGTTAGAGAATTCCAATCCATTCTCAAAATAGCACAAATATTAGGTGCAAATGATATCACTTATCGATAAAACCGAGCAAACAGATAGAGTGCGACCGGCCTTGGTTCTTACACTTAGGCCTCGTTTGGAAACAGGCTAATTTAGTAACTTTTTAACTATTTGGCTAAAATATGAGTTAAAGAAAACTAGTATGTTTGGGATGACTTTTTGACTTTTTACGAAAAGATGTGCCAAAAGCAGAAAGAAAAGAGAACTTTTGACTTTTTGATATGGTTTGTTGGCTTTTTGGTTTTTTTAGTGACTTTCTAGCTTTTTGGCTAAAAAAGTCACTTGCCAAACGAGGCCTAAATTCCATATTTCCAACATCTATATCATTATTTATACAGAGATAAGTTAACCCATGATTTAAGTCCCACCCCTCATGGGATATAATAGTTCAATAGATTTGAGGTTAATTGTCTGAATAGACTATTAATCCGGTACAAAATTTAAAATAAACAAGGGACTATTAACTCAATCACACCCTTCAATCGCATCAACCAAACATGCTGTTAGAGAATTCCAATCCATTCTCAAAATAGCACAAATATTAGGTGCAAATGATATCACTTATCGATAAAACCGAGCAAACAGATAGAGTGCGACCGGCCTTGGTTCTTACACTTAACCAAGCGATTGACACCGGACCTCATTCAAAGTTATTTATTGATGATGTTAACCCTGCGAAACCCAATATTATGTCATCAAGACACACAAACAAAGAAAGTAAAGTAAGAAGATTCAAACCTGATAAGACACCTTGGAAGGAATCGAACATGATAGAAACCACAAGAAATGGGGTCAATGAAGCAAATTCCTTTGTAATTGTTGGACCATCACTGAAGAAGCCAGCCCAGATATTGTGACCAAAGGATAGAGCCAATACAACAGTGAGAGCAAGCAAGATAGAGAGCTTGAGAGTCACACCCATGGCTTTCTTAGCTCGGTCTGGATTGCCTGCTCCTAACTCGTTCGACACCCTTGTGCTGTTGCAGAAAGTTTTGGTTGATTCAAACACCCTTAAACAAAAATTAACAGGGGAATTGCCCTGTTTTGTTGTGCTTTCATATTATTATTATTATTATTTTTTATATAATGTTTTTTGAAATAAAAATAGTAAAAAGTTATGGAACAAACAACTTCTGGTGTTTCTAAACAATGAGTTGTTTTCAGATTTTTTATTTTTTATTTTTGGAAACTAGTTTGCCAAACAAATTTCCATATAGCAAAACAAAAATAGATTTACTTATTTTTTTTATTTTCTAGTTAGGCATCCACATAGAGATGCTGTTGGGGGCCAAAATCTCAGAGCCCATGCCCTGCCTAGTGGAGCTTTTCTTACGCCAAAAGCTTATAATCCGAAACTTATTTATTAATTTTTAAATAATTAATTTTTTTTAGTTTATTTAAGCTAATTCTGCCTAATAAGACCATCTCCAACGGTGAACCAAACCCAGCATCAAATTCAAATTTTGATGAAAAACCTACTTTTTCAAGCTCCAACCGTTGCACCAGATTGATATCAAAATGAGATCTCAACAAAAAAAAGTAAGGTGAGCATGGTCCGGATTGGACCGGATTGGGATAAAACCAGGGCCAATCCGTTATCTACGATTCCTAAAAAATTGGAACCAATCCAATCCGTTTAAATCATGGAACCAATCCGAACCAATCCATTTAAATACGGATTGGATCGGTTTAGGACCACGGATTCACATAATTAAATAACAAAAATATATTTATAACATTTTAATTTTATAAAAATATAAACATAGTGCTATATTAGTTCCACAATAGCAACATATTTTTCTATAATAGCGACATACTGTTCTAAAATTTAAACAACCATAAGAAAATTGGTTTCACTATAAGTATTTAAACTATTACAACTTAAAACTAAAAACCAACAAACAAGAGTAATAAAAGAAAATATTATACGATTTTAGGTTTGAGTTTAGATTTTATATAGAATTAAGAGAAGATACTATGGGGGGGATGTATAATAAAAATATAGACTATTTTTATACGGTTCGGATCGGTTCTAATCCGGAACCGTGGGGTTCAATCCGGAACCAATCCGTAAACTACGGATTTTTAATTCTTTAATCCGGAACCGAACCGCGGATTCAAAAAACCAATCCAAACCTATCGGATTGGACTGGACTGGATCGGATTACGGATTTCACGGATCACTTGCTCAGCCCTAAAAAAAAGTATCAAACTAAAAAAAAAAAAAAAAAAAAAAAAAAAATTTTTGCCTAACCGGTCAACCGGCCGGTCGACCACCCGGTTGTCCCGGGATAGATTTGCTGAAAGGTGAACCGTTGGAGCGAGTGGTATTAATTTAGTGAAATGGGTCATTTTTGACCCAAATTTGGTGAAAAATTTGAGTCACCGTTAGAGATGCTCTAAGTTATAAGTAAAAGTTATACCAAATCGTCAGACATAAACTCTCAAATTAAAATAGACTATAATCGCCTCCTAAAAGTTGTACCAAACAGAACCTTTATCTATGATCCAAATCATTATATTGTAGGGTATATTAAGCAAAATATTTATACAATGATTTAGATTGATCAGACATCGTAGTCACATGATAGAATCATGTTTTTAAAAAATAATCTATTATCAAATTCATTCTTACAATATACTTTTAAAAATGAATGTGATCTAATCATACAGGGTTGTCTTGGAAAGTTGGTTAAAAGTTGATTTTTTGATTTTTTTTTTAAAAAAAATGTAAAAAAATAGAGAAGTGATGTGACCAAAAATAGGTTAAAAGCCAAATTATGTTCCCAAATTGGCCCACACAATTGATGTCAAATTAATTTTATTTTTTCATGAATGATTTGCTCAATAAACTCTACAAGATGCACCATTCAACATGCAAAAAAGAAAAAGAAAAAGAAAAAGAAAAAGAAAAAAGGGCAAATTACATATACACCCCTCCAGGTTTGACAAAATTACAGATACCCCCCTGAAGTTTCGAAAATTACATCCCGTCCCCTGAGGTTTGTATTTTCATAACAATTTACCCCCTGAGGTTTATATTTCATAACAAATTACCCCCTAATTTCTTATGCAAATATAGCATTCAGGGGGGAATTCGTAATTTCTCAAACCTCAGGGGGTATCTGTAATTTTGTCAAACCTGGAGGGGTGTATATGTAATTTGCCCATGAAAAAATAAGCAACAAACCTAACAGCAGCGCTGAGACCATAAGTAATCATGAAGGCGATAGCTTCTGTATTGACACTGAGAATATACCCAAAAAAATTAAAAAAAACAAAGACAAAAACACTTAACAGAGTCAAGTCAAGCAACATAAAAAAACATTGTTCCAGAAATTGTTGGAAATCAAAATCAGAAAGAAAGATAAAAGAAACATTACCACATTGCAATCAATGAAGTTGTTATTTCTGCATTTGGCATCAACCCAGCTAACAGTACCAGCAGCTCAAATGCCCAATCCTCTAAACTGAAAATTAAAAAAAAAAAATGTAAAAATTGACTATTAAGTGGTGAAATGGATGATTCAATCTTGAATTCCGCCCTAATAAACCCGTATAGTAACCAATTAAGAGTATTGTTGGATCACCAATTGTTTCAAAAACTTAAACGGTTAAGAAATGAGTCTAACAATATATATCAAATTAAGACTCTCTCTCACCGAAAAAGATATTGAATAGATCCCAAAATGAGAGAGATAACAGGTGAGAAATACTTGTACTTAAGATCTCTTGGAATTAGTGTTCTAATAAGGTGTTAAAAAGTTAGAAAAACTATTGAACTAGTATTTGACCAAACTTGGGTGGTTTAAAAAGATGATATGTGGCAAGTCTCTAACACTCCTCTTCACATACCGCCCAGTTGCACAATAAGAGGATGTAAATAGACCAAGGACAAAACTTAGCCTAAAAAATCACCCTAAACCCAACTCTAATTAGATAGCCATTTGTCTTAAAAATAACCTTTTAACAATGTATATGGTAGGGCTAACTAGGGTATATTTTGAGTTATGAAATAGGTTTGGGAATACATGCAATTGGGTAAGATTACTACTTCCGGGATGAAAATTTTTGTAAATACATAAATTGATCACAGAATCAAACACAATAGTTTTTTAAACTGAGTTGTAATTGGTTTTACATGCAAGTGGAATAATTGTTCTAGGATAGACGTCTTAACTTTAACCTTTGAGAGACAATTGGCAAACTCTAAAACCTTCATTTTCGTATCAGATGGAGTCTATGCTTCAATTTGAGAATCATTTTGTGAGGTGTCTTTTATTTTTATTATATAATCAAATTTACTATAAGGAACCTCTTACGAAAGATAGAGAGTCAAGGCTGTTATGACAATTTTTGCATAACAATTCAGAACATTAAGCATAAGAAAAGACGGAACACAAAAAAAGTCACTCACCACAACATTGCTGCAGAGGGAAGAGCCAATTTCAAGTTCACAAAAACATGACGAAATGACTCGATTGAAAATCCATGCCAAGTAGACTCAAATCTCTTTGCGCAAAGCACATAAACACCCAACATAAGGGCTGCGATCCACAATGAGATTGACACCGACAATGCAGCTCCCTTGAATCCAAGAGGTGTCCAGTAAACAAAAACATAGGCAATGCTAATGTGACTGATCAATGGGAGGACCGAGCAGACAACAAGTGGCATGACAACACTCTGTGTTTGAAGAAACCTCAAAATGTTGTGCAAAAGCCCAAATGCAAACAAACCCGGGACAAGAAATCTGATGTAGAGCGCTGCAGCGTGTGAAACTTGAGGATCTTGGTGGAGTAAGATCAAAATGGGCTCGGAATAGAACCAGAAAATTGAGATGAAGATTGAGAAGAACACAGAGATTATACATGATGCTTGGAGGTGTAAGCCAAGCATGCTGTAGAGTTTTGCACCGTATCCTTGCCCGCATAATGTTTCTAATGCACCACTTAGGCCCATCTAAAAAAAAAAAATCTAAAACCAATCAGTTAATTGATCAACAAAGAAGTAACAGAAATTTAGAACAACGATGAAATATAATGAAGTTGGGACAATTAAGCTTATGATACTAGGTTTATTGAATGAAGTATGGATTTGCTACATTTTAATTATGGAATGTGTATTCAAAGTTTATATGTAGGATGGATATAATCAACCTTTTCACATCTTCGTACAACTGTTTTTTTTTTTTTTGAGGAACAAACATAGTCTTTTGCTCTCTTCACATAATCATATGCATTTCTACTCTCTTTATCTATTCTATTATATAAAACAAACGCTTGACTTGGTGCGAATTGTCACCATTTTTGCCTATTCTCAAATTATCCCTTTGACCTAGTCTATATAACTCTCTTTATATATCCACAAACAAGAGTAGTTACAAATCCATGATGTTTCAATTGCACACATAGTATGCTTACCCTTCTAGTGTAATATTGTGCACTCAAATGAGGTTGATTAATAGAAGAAATTTTTTAGCAACACACAAATCAGATGGCAACCCTCTCACTCATGTGAGGTTGATTATTAGTTTTCCTGCAAGTAAAAGAATTGTTAATAGAATATAAGCGGGAGTAGGACTCTAATTATATAAATTATATTCACTAAATAAAAAAGCTATATACATTATACAGTGAATTATTTAAAACACTTTTGGACACAACTAAAATAAAATTGATTAACACATTTTATTTTCAAGATAATTTTTAATATATATATTTTATACATGAAGATCCTTTCCATAGCATACTCTTTATCCTCATCTTACACAAGCACTATGGTGTAATTAAAATATAATCACTCTATTTGGTTTCAATTTTCAGAATTTACTTTTTATAAAATTTCACTTTTTTGTTTTCTGTATTTTTTTTGTTTTCACTAAATTTTTTTAATATTTTAAGCAATTTTTTTTTAATTTTTAGACATACCTAACATAAATACACTTAAAAGTATAATATTTGTGAAAAAAAAAATCTTTAAAAAATTCATTGAATACAAAAAAAAAAAAAAATATTTGTGTACATTTTTCGTACTTTTGTGTATTTATTAATTTTTTAAAATATTTTTTTACAAATATTTTACTATTTAGATACATCTAAGTAAGGTACATCTAAAAAATTTTAAAAAAAATAATTAAAATTTTAAAAATATTTACTACCAAAAAAAAAAAAAAAAAACGAAAAACAAAAAACCTCAATTTTCAAAAAATTAAATTTAAAATATTGAAACCAAACATAATGAATACAATTTATAAAAATAATCACTAGCCATCTCACATGACCACCTATATAACCAATTCGATCTGTTTGCCAAACAAAGTAAAAGCAATTCGCATATCAGTCCTTATTCAGGGAAAATTCTACTAGCCAAAGCAAAGCAATCAAGGATTGGGTTTCAATTAATCTATAATTATTTATTTTAAAGTACACATGGTAATTTTTCCCTTCTTTTAACGGTTGGATTTCTTTCACATTTACATCTCAATGAAAGAGAATTAGAGGGGTCCATTTGGCTAACTTCAAGTCATGTTTCTAAAATTTGAACCATTCATTTTGTAAGACTCTCAATCTATATCATTCATGAAAAAAATTAAATCGATTCGATAATTGTAACATTTTTATTTTATTGTGTTTCTCTTTAAAAAAATAGATGATCTATTTTCAAAATATATTTCTGTCTATTTTTTAGAGACAAATATGATAAAATGAAAAAGGTTACGATTATCGGATCAAATTATTTTTTATTTTTATTTCTATAAGTATTACATAAGAATACCTTTCAAAATAAATGATTTGAAAGAGATCTCAAGGCATTTGTATCACTTACTCGGTAGATATTTATGATTAAATAATATGGAGCAAAGTACGCAAGTGATACAAAAATGTGAAGCTCTTATAGTTATAATTGTGCCACATAACATAATATTTCTAAATATGATCACCCAAAAAAAAAAGTGGTTGCTATTTGAAGAACATCTCCAACTCTTTAAAAAAAAATAAAAATAAAATCAAATATGAGTAAAAAATTTAATTAAAAACTTGATTTGACATGAGACGTTCATAAATTTTCATCAAATTTAACTAAAAACTTGATTTAATAAAAAAAAAAATTGAATGTTCTAATCTCAGTACTTAAAAATTTCATCAAATTTGGTGAAAATTTTATTTTTGCCTTTTGATGGAGAAGTTGATAGAACTTGTTTTGATGCAAGTTTAACGAAATGATTAGAGATATACTAACAGAGTGTTGAAAAACAATAATCATAATAATAATAATAATTTTAAAATAATAATAATTTGAGTGTACATAATTTAATTATAAAATCGAATACAATTCTTTTTATATGTGATAAAAAGATGTGTTGAATTTAAGATGGGTGTGGTTCACTATAATTGAGTAAAATGAAATGATAATTCAATCAAAATATTTGTTCATATGTTTGGCTAATTAAAAAAATAAAGAAAAATACAATAAAAATGCAATCATCATTCACCATTACGGTGGAATGATAAAGATTTTTTTTGGGAGAGTTTAAGAAATAATCATTTCTTTCCATTTAACTCATTTCAGTAAATCAAAGAGAGAGAGAGAGAGAGAGAGAGAGAGAGAGACCAGAAAAGCGTAGCCGGTGACGAAGGCCCAGGAGTTGGCAAGGTTGGAGGCGGCGAGCTCGAGGTCTCCGAGGTGACCGGAAAACATGACACCCACCAGAGGAATGAAGTAGTATGAAACATTTGTAATTATCATTGGTAATGAAAACAACACCTGATGCTTTGCTTCTTCCAAATCCAACACCTTCTTCCACCACCTCTCCTCCACTCCACCACCACCTCCTCCTCTTCCATCTGATGAATACTTCACCAGCAGTGGTCTATCATGATCATCTGAACCACCTTTATTGTTTGGATACATCTCTCTCTCTCTCTCTGTGATCTGCTTCTTTTTCTTCCTCTTCTTGGTTTTAATGATCAATACGTTTGGTCACTGATATATAAAGTACTAAAAAACTAAGAGAGACATGGTGGGGTTAGGACAGAAGTCACTACCAGAAATGCTATCTTATTTTTGTAATTAAAAAAAAAAAAATAAATAAAAAATTAAAAAATCAAAAAAATTATTATTCTATTTAAATTACATTAATTATTTATTACATCACTTCAAACTCAAATCATACCCAACTCATATTAAAAAAAAAAAAGTACAAACAAACTACAATCACATTACATTTTTCTCATAATAAAAAAAATAAATGAAAAAAAAGAACCATTGAACTAACCAATTATTTGAAAAAAAAATTGAAAACTGAAAACATAAACTCATTTTTTGAGTTTAAATTTTTAAAATTTTTAAATATTTTAATTTTTTTGTTATGTATTTGGTTACAATTTGAGTGTAAAGTTATTTAAAATTATTAAAATAAAACATGTAGTGAACTTCACATACCTTAACAATACGTTGTACTTCAGATTAGATAGTTGAAAAACTCAACGCTAAAAAATATTTTGAAATAATACATAAGATGTCCAGATCCTCTGAAGTACTTTCCTGCGGTGGTTCCTGTAATGTCTCAAAATGATGTCGTTTTGGGGCAAAATTTTCACAAAAAAAAAAAAACTGTTGTTTACACTTCATGCTTCTCCAGTGTGCATCTTCGAAACTCTGACCGACGACCCCCTTAACCCTCCTCCCCCTCCGGTGACCTCCTCCAATTGTTCTCCTCTTCCGGCAATCCTCCCCCAGCTATATCACCCCCTCCTTCTCTCGTTCCTTGCTTTTCTTCTTCCTCATTTCTTTCTTCTTCTAGATCTAGGAAAAAAAAAAAAAAAGAGGGAGAGGAGAATCTGGTAGGTTTAAATGAGAGAGAAGTTAGAGAGAGCAAATGAAATATACTATTGGAGTTTGTATTAACTCGCTGCTAGAGCATTTGAAATATTTTTTATCTTCAAAGTCATCATCCAAATATTCCACTTCCAAGAGCCTATTATTGTCTCATCTTCCTCCACTTCGATGGGTTTGGTGGGTTTTGGATGGGAAAGGAAGAAATTGAGAGATGGTGTGGTGATGGGTGGTATGGCTGAAGGAGGGTCGTCGTAGGGAAGAGTACTGGGGGAGGGTTGCCGGAGAGGAGGGAGAGGCCAGGGGCTAGGGGCTGGCCGAAGCTTGTGGAGAGGTGGCCGGCAATGAAAGGGTGTGAAGATCAAATTTTTTTTTTTTTAAAAGAATTTTAAAAACCTTAACACCATTGGTTCAATGGTTAAGACTTGGCCTAATAACCTTAAGGTTATGGTTTCAAGTCTTGGGGCCACCACTTTGTGCATTATGCTAAAGGTTAGGTGTGTACTCAATCTTTTTCCTCCCAAACACACATTAATGTGTACTAATTAGGCGTTGTTTTTTTTTAAATTTTACCCCAAAACAATGTTATTTTGAGGTATTAAAAGAACCACTGCAAGAAAACACTCAGAGGATCCGAACTCGTAAATTTAAGGTTAATACAATATACGGCGCACTAGCAATTAATGCAACAAATGCGGTTTAGAAATTTTTAAAATATATTTTATATATACGTATAATATTGTTGAAGTGGCAAACAGGGGGCCAGGGCTCAGATTCACTGTTATCGCGGCGTCTGTGGGTCGCATCCCATTGACGCGATATCTCTATCCACCAGAAACTCACGTGGCTCCTGCTGGGTGAAGGTGCCCTGTAAAGTGGTTTGGATTTGGATATACAGAAACTAAAAGAAATTTATTAATCCCTCCGTCCCAAAATAATGGTTTTTTTTGGGGAATTCAACTTTTTTTAGTAGTACAATTATTGTATTTGAAAAAAGTTAATTTTCCAAAATTATCCTTTTGATAGTACATTTTTTAGGAATATCAATGCATAATTGTACTTTTTATGTTGTTTATTAATTTAAAAGAAGGGTAAAATAGGAAATTTATATTATTTTTGTACTTGATTTTTGAAGAGGGACTAATATTTTGGGACAATAAAAAATAGAATAAGGGACTAATATTTTGAGACTGAGGGAGTAATTTTTTTATCCAATGCTTATGATCTATTTTGGCAAGACGATTAAAAATTATTTAATGCTTGTGATTTACTTTTTTAAAATTTTAAAACTTTTAGGTTACAATTTAAGAAATGACTTTTAACTTATTTTTTAAAATGAGCTTACATGGTGCGGAATTTATTCATGTAGGCTCACACTAGTGTTTTATAAAAATTTAAGCTCCGTTTGGTAAGTTTTTTAAATTATAATTTTACTCATTGATTTGAGTATGGTGTTTATTTTGAGCTTTCAAATCATAATTCTACATCCATTTCTTAAAATTCAATTCAAAACATAATCATTACTTTTCAAAACATATAACCAAACACATAATTCAAAACTTTTTTTAAAACTCAATTCAAATCAATATTTTAATTTTTTAAATATTTTAATATTTTAATATGTTACGATTTTTTTAATTTTTTAATTTTTTGAATATTTTTAAATATTTTAATTTTTAAATATTACGATTTTAATTTTTAAAATTTTTAAATATTTTAATTTTTTTGTTATGTATTTGGTTACAATTTGAGTGTAAAGTTATGAAAGTAGTATGGAGTTTCGAGTTATGTGTTTAGTTATGAGTTTTAAAAATAATTTCTTAATTGAGTTTGTTTTATGTGTTTGGTTGCGATTTGAGTGTAGAGTTGTTTTTAAATTTAAAATATTAACATTTTAAATTATTTAAATTTTTACAATTTAAATTTTTTGAATATTTATTTTTATTTTTTACTTTATTAAAATTTTTTAGAATTAATTTAAAATATTTAAAAATATTTATGATTCATTTTTTGAATATTTATTTTGAAAAAAATTATTTCCTTTGTAGTATCTTTCAAAATAAAAAATTGATTAATTTATTTTTCTCTGTTAATAAATAAATTTTTTTAATTGAATTTTAAAAAGAAAATGTTGATTAGAATTTTCAATAGTGTGAAAGTAGCGTGTTTTGTTATGAGTTATAACAATTTAAATTAAGTTTTGAAAAACTTCTTTCCAAAACTCATAACCAAACAAATTTTTTTATTTCACATGTCAAATCAAACTTTTAAAACTCAATTCCATACTCAATTCAACACTCTATTAAAAAATCATAACCAAACAAATTTTCTACACTCAAATCATAATTGCACAATTCACAAACTCAAAATACAACTCATACTCTCAAATCATATTTACAAAACTCTACCAAACACAATCTTAATAATTTTTTTAAAATTGTTAGCATTACTCTTAGATTTGGATCATATTATAAAATGAGAAGTGTCTCCTCTCTTATTTTATCATCCCTAATTACACTTTAATGAGATGATAAATAATAGTATTAATTAAATATTTTTTTTTAAAATTATTTTTTGTCATTTCAAAATTAAATGTAATTGGGAGTGATAAAATAGAGAGATATAACTATTATAAAATTGAAAAATGCTTGGGAGCACTAATTAGTGCTCCCACTAATTAGGTGGCAGTGGGTCCCGCCATTAATGATGTGATGTTTTGGTCTTGAAATTGTATTTTTTTTTGTTTTTTTACTTTTTTAATGCATTAGTGCTATTAGTGGTGATATTTTTAGTGGGATGAATCATTGTTGTATAAAATTTAACATATGATCTTAACTGAACAAATATATTTTATTTAAATTATAAATATAAAATTTAATAGTTATAAATATGATCTTAACTAAAAAAATATATTTTATTTAAATATATAAGAGGTAAGATTTTTTAGACCGAGAATCGCTCTGGTGTGACACAAATTTTATTTTGATGCGAATGTTCTAAAAGCATCTCTAAGCAACTTGTTAATTATTATAATTATTATTATATTTTAATCATTTTAATAGATAAATTATTGAGAAAATTGTTAAAAAATTCAAGGTAAGAAAGGTATAAGGTATTAAGTTCAATGAAATATTTTTTGTTAGTGAGAGGTCCACCCTTTGAAATGGTTTAGTGAGAAATCATTTTGTTAGTTTTAGAGGACATTTTTTTTTTCAATTTTATCCATTAATTTGTTTGTTAACTTTTTTTTTTATTTGTTGACTTTTCGTTGATAACCTGTTCAAATTTATATCTATATGTTCAAATTATTTTCTAACTGTTCAAATTTTTTTCTATTATTTCAAATTTATATTTATCTGTTCACTTTTTTCCCTTTTTGATCTTTGCAGTTCAAATTTTGTTCTTATCTGTCAAACCAACTCTATCTGTTGTCAAAATCATTTTTACCTATTGAAATTTTGTATCTATTTGTTAAACTTACTCTATCTTTCAAAAAGTGAATTTGTTTGTTTTTATCTGTTTATTTTTTTTATTTTTTTCCAATCTGTTGAAATTATCTATTCAAATTATTTTTTCATCCATTGAAACAAGAGGCGATGATCAATTGAAATGGGTGGGAAAAGCCAGAGGAGAGAGTTATCTGTTCAAACTCTCTATTTCCTCATTTTTTTTCTCTTTATCTGTTGCAATGAACAACAATAACAACAAAAGGAAATATATATATATATATATATATGATGACATCATCAACAACAACAAGCCAGATCCAAAAATAAAAAAAATGAACAAATAACACATATCTGTTCAAATTCACACAATTTTTTTCAACTTTGGATTCTACCATACAACACCATCATGTCGGAGGCTGTCATTACCCTCCCCCACCACTCATGTTGTTGAAGTATCCTATAATAACCGTCATTATTTGCTCCAATTTGATGTTTTAACCCCATTGCAGACGTCAAGAAGATCTTATTGTAGTAAAATGAATACAATAATAAGGTAGAATGGGGTAAAGAACAAAAAGAAAACACAGAAAAAAAGAAAAAAGAGAGAGAGAGAGAGAGAGAGAGAGAGAGAGAGATTAAAACTACTTGAGGGGAAAAGGATTCAAAGGTTTCTGGTCCTGCTAGT